GGAGCGCCGCCACACTTCCCAAGCGGTGCACTTATCCAGTGCGCCACCGGGCCGGCCCCATTGAAGTTTTTTTTATGATGACTCATTTAAAATCTTTTATCAGATAATTCTAGTATATTGGTTATATCAATATTGTCATCTGTACTAATTTCCTAAGGCTGCTCGATAGCTAAAAACAACAGAAATTTATTCTCTTATTGTTCTGGAGGCTAGGAGTCCAAAATCAAGGTTTTGTCAGGGTTGGCTTCTTCTGAGGGCTCTGAGGGAGAATATATGCCATGGTTCTCTTGTAGCTTCTGGTGACAGCTGGCAATCCTTGATGTTCCTTGACTTGTAGAAACATCACTGCAATCTCTGCCTCTGTCTTCATATGACATTCCCTATGTATCTGTCTGTCTCTGTGTCACTTTTTATAGGGAAACTAGTTATATTGCACTAAGAACCCATCCTACTCCAATATGACCTCATCTTAACTAATTACATCTGCAAAGACCCTACTTACAAATAAGGTCACATTTTTTGGAGGTTAGGACTTTAACACATCTTTTGGGAGGGACACAATTTAACCCATAATACTATCTACTTTTTATATTTTTTAAAATTCAGTTTAAAATCTTCCTGCTTTTAGTATAATGAGTAATTTTTTTATTAAAGGAATTTATTTTTAATTGAAATGTTTTGATTGTACATATTTATGGGGTACAGAGTTATATTTCAATACATGTGTACAATGTGTGATGATCAAATCAGGGTAATTAGCATATTCATCACTGCAAAACTTTATCATTTCTTTGTGATGAGAACATTTGATCTTCTCAATAATTAGTAGTTTCTGATTGAAGACTGGACTATTTGGGTATTATGTTATAAGACTGTCTTAGTCCATTTTGCACTGCTATAACGGAATACTGCAGAATGTGTAATTTATAATGAACATAAATTTATTTTTTTCACATTTCTGAAGTCTGGGAAGTCCAAGATCAAGGGCCAGCATCTGGTGAGGGAATTCTTGTTGTGTTGTCTCATGGTGGAAGGCAGAAAGGCAAGAGAGGGAGAGAGAGTGAAAGTAAAAGACTCTCCCTTTTTATAATGAGCTCACTCCTGTGATAACTGCATTAATCCATTCACTCTACCCTCATGGCCCAATCATCTCTCATTAGGCCCTACATCCAGACACTGTTACATTGGAGATTAAGTTTCCAACACATGCTTTTTGGGGAACACATTCAAACCACAGCAGTGACTCTGGATCTTATTTAAACTTCTCATTTTATATATGGATTCCTCTAATACCACTCCATCAAGGGAGGGGGGCCCTTCCTCGTTACTGCTAGGTGGGGTTGAATCCTAGGTTCATACATGGCTTCCATTGACACCAGTGTTGGTGTAGCTCTTCATGATTAGGAGATAGGGAAGGTCTTCTGGTTTCCCACTAGGCCTCCATTGATATCTCTCTGGCTGTGTGTGTGTTGTAGGGGAGAAGGTACAAGTGCCTCATTAATGATCCCCATGTAGTTTACAGTGACATTGCAGGGGTGTGTGTTCTTGTTACTTCTTGGTGGTAGTGAGAGTCCTGACTTTCCACTCAGCCTCCTCTGATACCATCCCATTGGGGAGGGGAGACTTATTGCTGCCTGTGGGGGTGGAAGTTGAGGTTCTCCTTCTGGCCTTTGCTGATGTGTTTGGGGGTGGGGGCCACAGTCTTTGTATGTGGTGTTTTGCTGGAGTAAAGCAGTACTATCTAAAACTTTTCTGTCTTGTAGGATGCCCCTTTCCTGGTCCTTTGGCTTGAGAGAGCAGGCTTTGCTGGGGCTTTTTTGATCTGCACCACTGGTGTTTAAGTGGCCAGATTCTTTAGCTCTAAATCTGGGATACATGAGGCAAAAGATAGACCAGGGAACTCACCACCATGCTGTTCCTTGGGTCTCAAAGTCCCAAGACAGTTTGCCTTCTTCTCTTTACCTTTCAGTCTTTTTATGGCTACTTTTATATTAATGCCCAGGGATTTTAGTTGTGCCGAGCATAAAGGATAGGCAAAAGTATGTCTATTTCATCTTCCTGGAAGGAGAAATTCCTCAACAGATTTTTTTGTAATCTATTATTATAGTAAATTATGTTAATACTTTTGCTGGGGTTGAACAATCCTTGTATTGTTAGAATAAATCCTAGTGGTACATACCGAAGACTTCTTTTAATGCACCGCTAAATTTAATTTGCTAATGTTTTATTTAGAATTACTGCATCTGTATTCGTAAGTGAACTGGTTTATAGATGCTTGGTGTGTGTGTGCATGCAAGCAGGCCTGGAGGGTTTGCATGCTGTCATTTCCAGGATTTTGCTTACCTTTGTGAATGATTTGAGAAGTGTTCCAAATTTTTCTACAAAATAAAAATTTAAAGGAAAAAAAAAATTAAAAATAAAATAATAAAAATAAATCTGTAGACCATGTCAAAAAAAAGAAGGCAGGGGTTTCTACAGAGAGCCTACATCTCTGTAGTATCTGTAACTTCTTTCTCTAGGATTCCCTGGGCATCCCCCCAGAGAATGGGACCCAGGTCCTCTCTGCTCCCAGATCCCACAAACCTCTCTTGGGTCCTGCTGCCTCCCTGGGGCTCTGCCCAAGTGGGAGGGACCAGGCTGTTCTCCCTGGATACACAGCAACTACGCTCCCAGATTCTCCTCCAACATTTCGTTTTTCCTTTCCCCTAGCATTTGGAATTTTTCCTCTTCTAGAGACCAGATGGTGGTTACTCCTCACAACCTCCTGGTCTTAAATATTTTTGTCTAAATGTCCCAAACAGCTTCTCGTTCTATCGAACAGAATTCTTTTAGAACATGAAATCCAGGAAGAGAATTCACAACTCTTTCCTTCCCACTGTACCAAGCATAGAATGATCTGACTGTAGAATTAGAGAAAAGGTTAAATTTAAAAAGAAAAAGCAAGATCTGTAATGCTGCATGACTATTTTCCTATTATACTAAGCTGTTTGTTTATTAATTAATTTGTTTACTTGTTCCAGTTGCACTGTAGAGATAGCCAATTGTTAAATTTGCAGTAAATTTACAAGCTGATTGTTAGACCATTGGTAACTTGAAATCAGC